TTTAAGACTCTCCAATGAGTGCTGAGAGGTCAGAAAGTAGCATGGCCGTCAATGGTGCTCATGGTCCATAGCCTTCTGATCTAGTATGCTACTTAAGGATGGGGCAGTCCTACCAAGTAACATATTAATATATTAAAGAAACACATCTTGTTGGAGAAAAGACACTGCTATGATTTGTGTGGGCATTTTGGAAGCTGAGGACTCTTAAAACTCCAACCCCTAGGAGATGAGAATTGATTTGGTGCCATCATAATTTATCAGCTTCATGCATAAAAATGTGTGGCAGCCTTCAGTTATACCTCCTCTGTCTTCTCAAAATATACCACATGTCTCTAGTTAGGAATGACCCCATATCGACTTCCGATTTGGGTCTCTTCAGCGACAGACCGAAATTCGCGATCATGTGCGGTTTCGATCTGTGCTCGCCGCTGGAGCGCCCGATCCTTTGGATTCGGGGCTGAAGCCACCCTGCAGAGGTGGTGAAGAGGGGGGAGATTGCTAGCCGAGTGGAGGGGAGCCGCATCTCTCCTCCTTGGCTGGTCTAAACTCCTTTCCCCGAAGGCGGTTGCAGCAGTGGTCAGAAATGGCCACCTCAAAGAAGAACCTGACTTGTGCAGGAGGAAGACAAAGAGGAAAGCAGGACAGACCAGGCTAAACAACAGAGAACATCTAAGCAAGGTACCCTGAATCTAAAAGTACCTAGAGGAATACTTCTGAAAGAAGATCTTTAAGCGGCGAAGGAGAGAGAAAAGGAGGTTAAAAACCCTTTTTTAACCTTTATATTGACAATTACAAATGGTATGGAAAGAAATTTATATTAATCTATTTTGACACTAATAGGCAACCTTAAGCTGAAATCTAAGTGTCAAAAGGAGAATAAAAAAAAATTTCTTGATCATTTTAAAGCCCTAAAAAGGAGAAGAGTGGAGGCAAAAGGGTGGGACTTGGAATAATGGAAAAATGGAGTGCCACCTGGAAAAATAAAGAGGATTAACAGTGAAACTTTGAAAAGACTCCTGAGGATACATTGTCACTGAAATCTTATTAAAAGATACAGTAACCCACGGAAAGGAAAAGTAAAGGAAAGAAACAAGAAGGAACAGTCTGGGATCATTTGGTGATTTAAAAAAAAGTTTTTGCCATTGGTTTTTTCTTTCTTTTTCTGTTTTTACTTAAAGTCAGTTGGGTGGTTGTTCAAAAGTGTTTAAAAGGCCATCACTCCTGGAGGAATTGAAGATGAGTCTTAAAAAACAGAAAGAAGATGTAGAAAGGGGAGGAAGATCCTTTGGCTTCATGTTTGAATTTTTTGAAATGGAGATCCTGAACTATGAAAAGCAAAAGGAAAAGCTTCAAGAGCAAGAAGAAGGGCGGGACAAAGAAGAAGCCATTTTCAATGATCAAATAATGCAAAGTGTGGTAATAAGGGGGGAAAGAGGGGAAGGAGTTAAAAGTTTGAGATCAAAGGGAACAGCCAAAAAGAAAAATAGTCTGAAAAAGAAGTACAACAGCAAGGAGAAGCAGAAAAGAAAACTACAGAAGGGAAAATTAGAGAGAGAAGGGTATAAAAAAAGGGGATGAGAAAAAGGGGGGAAAGATAGAAAGGGAAAGAAGTTATGAGGGACAAAAAGAGGAAATAAAGAAAAGGGGGAAACGTACTAGGATTAAAGGTATTTGCTCAGCTAGAAAACACAGAGACAATGGTTAAATTAAGTTAAAAGTGAGGATTCTGCAAAGGTACAAAAGATAGTGTTGTGACAGTAGAATACTGTAATGAGTTAGAAATGAAATAAGTAAATAATCTATGAGATAAAACTATTGTTATGTAATGGTATGTTTATTTATAATTAATGCAATAATAAAGAAGAGAGGGAAACATTGCAATTGTTTCTAAAGATTGATAAAATATTGAAAAGAAATGTGACAGATTAATAAGGAAATTTATACCAGTTATTAGAATGAATTTGAATAATTATTTTGCTTATTAATAGTAAATAATTTATAAGATAAAACTGTATGACTATCCAATGGTATGCTTATTAACAGTTAAGTAATAATGAAGAAGGGAGGGAAACATTTCAATTGTTCTCAAAGATTGATAGATATTGAAAAGAAACATGAAAGATTTACAAGGTTCATACCAGTACTAGAATGATTTTGAATAACTTTTGTTTACTAATGTTTATATATGTATATATTTTATTTGCTATGTTTTTAGAATTTTTCTTTTTACATTTTCAAGGGGAAGTACCAAGCAGAGTCTGAATGATGAGATCTACATGATATAAAATAGATATTAGAAATTTGAATGTTATAATTTTAGAATGCACAAATTCAATGTTTAATGAGATTTCATATGATAATAACAATAAGATTTAAAGGTGTTGCATTTCGATTGGCAATCGTAGGGGGAATTTTGTTTCTTAACAATGTTGGAAGAGAACATATGAAATTGTAAACAAGACAGACGAAAGTATAAGTACAATGAATAAAAAGATATAGAAATTTAGGTAAAAGAAATACAATTGAATAAGAAGAAAATGAGATAACCATAAAAGAAAATTAAGAGAAGTAAAGGGAGAAATAGTGAGAAGTTGGAAAAAGAGTAATAAGATATGAAGTTGAATACATAAGATGAATATGCATATGAAATTGTGTCTGTATGGAAATGTGATAACCCGGAACGATGCTGTACTCAAATAAGATGTTTTATTTGTTTTGTTAAAACTCAATAAAACTTTATTTTTTTAAAAAAAGGCATGACCCCATATTATTTTTTTAGTTGGCAGATGGTTCTTTGCCTTCTATAGCTGTTGTAACAGCTTATCAGAGTATCATCCTTTTGAAAGCTAGAAATGAAGCAGTAGCTAAAGAAGGCCTAGAATTGATCCGATTCCTTTTTTGCTGTCCAGTCATACTATGGAATCTCTGTAGCTACTGGACTAATCAAATAACATTTCCCTATGGATCTACTGGCACTAAGTGACATAGCTTTCGGATTGAATTCCAAAGAGATCATGAACTATTATTATGGCCTGTGGTGGCATCAAGTCAATGTTATAGTTGTTTGATACATCCATTCATTCTGAAGGAGATTGTGTTTCTAATAACTGTATCGACACTTCGGTGCTTCAGGTGTCAGCTTTGAGTTGTGAATGAGTGTTAAAATAAAGTTTTTGACCTACTTTGTCATCTGTGCATATAGAATAAATTTTGACTTGTGAAAGAGCTCTTAGACATTTGCAAAGTGTCAAGAAATCTTCATTGCCTCTGTGTTTTTTTTTGTAATTTGATGTTTCAATTTATTTCCTTCTGATTTTCAGTAATATTACATTTTCCTTTGTTTACATTCCACAACTGCCTTCTCAAGGGTTTTCCCCTTATATAAAAATGACCTAGTTTGAGTTAATTATTGCCCTATCTGCTATTGCAAAGTTTAATTTACAACTGAAATTATACTTTATTCTGATCAGGACTGGGTTGTTCTTGAAACTCTCCCTCCTCTACAGTTTGTGGGTTTTGGACCATTGTAGGTTTGCTGATGAAATTGGCAGAATTCCCCCCCCCCCCCCCATGTATTTTAGTGAGATTCTGTTGTACTTTTCCTAAACCAGGGCTGTCAAACTTGTGGCCTGCAGGCCAGATGTGTCACTCGCTGGCTACACCCATGCCCAGTTTAATGAAGGGAAAAAAGTTGTGATATGTCATGTGAGGCTGCCGTGATGACATGAGTTTGTCACCCCTGTTCTAAACGTTTACATATAATGTAACACCTTAGAAGCTATCTATTTCAAATTATTTGGGGCTCAGGGGATTATTATCTAGATCCACCCCATTTTTGTTGACTTCGTTCACTTCTTAGACCTGGCCTCATCACCTTCAGTGTGGCCTCCATCATGACACAGAACAGCCCTTACCTGGAAAAAAAAGTTGTCCACCCTCATCTAGACTGGGGATCTTCAAATACCCTTTGTTTTTTTAGGGAAATCTTTCCATACTGATTGAAGTCTGTTGAAGAACCTCAACACAATGCCTAGGTTGGTGGGACAAGCCCCAAATTCAGATGGGACATTCATCAGCTTACAAGGCACCCAACTTTCTCCCAGCAGTAGTAGCCAGAGCTTATATTAGACCATTGTTCTATTCCCACATGTTTTTCAAAGTTTCTAGTCATGTCACGTCCAGCTTAACTGGCCTGCTGTTAATTTAATGGCACAGTGGAGAAAAATCCCTCTCAATGTCAGCCTGTTGTTTTTGATGCATGGCTGCTGCTAGCATCCAGTTCCAAGTGGGTTGCCAGCAGCAGACTAGATATAACTGAATGAGCCAACAGGAAATATTACAATGGAGAGAAAAAGGGGATATTCCAGGTAACGATCAGTTTGACAGCAAGTTTCCACATTTACTGGTGATCTGTCACATTCTGCAATTCTTTGTCAGTCCCAGGTTATACTCCTACCTCTGGGATATCTCATTCAGATAAAGATATGTGGCTTTAAAAACCTTGAGACCTGGCTTGGGATTTTTTAATTTTGTATGAGTTCTTTACTATGTCTACCCTTATTTTAATGTTTATTTATGTATTTAATTGCATTTGTATCCTGGAGCAATCGACTGGAAGGTTTATTGATGGGCAACACTTCAGACTCTTTGTGGCCTACACTGGATTGTAGAAACTGCATAATAATTAAGTAAAACTGCTCTATGACATGTTGAAGGAAGGTTTCCTCTTTACAACTTAGATTTTCAGTATCTTATGTGCCAGCTTCGTCTGGGCTAATAAGATTCAGAATATCACTAGATGACAACTAAGAGGTATGGGGTGGAGGGGGGGGGAGTTACAGTGTGGCTGACATTTTGTGATTGTAGCCTTATCTTATTAGGAGTATGACATATCTGCTAAAAAATGACTACAAGAGAGAAGGTGAGTAGATGCAGTTTTGCTCCACGGAGGTGAAGAGTTTGCAGTTAGTGATGACAGATGTCTTTGTCCATGCAGGAATTCTCTGGTGCCCCATTGTACCCCGATGCTTTGGGGAATGAGCACCTGTGGAAGGAAGGCGCTGACTCTGCTCAGCAGTGTCTTTGCTGTGAGCGGACTGGGATTTCTGGGGATTGCAGTGAGCACCGACTACTGGCTGTATCTGGAGGAAGGGATCATCCTGCCCCAAAACCAAAGTACCGAAATCAAGATGTCTCTGCATTCTGGCCTCTGGAGGGTTTGCTTTTTGGCAGGTACGGTGCTTTGGGCAAAAGTAAATCTGGCTTTCCTCATGCTTCTATTCTTCATGCCTTAAAAGTATTGAAAGGATTAGGAAATGTTCCCCTATGATTTAATTTATATGAATGGTTATGAAATAGTTCTCTTTTTTTAATGCATGTCCACATTAACATGGCTAGCTTATTTTAAATGGCTAGTTATTTTAAATGGCTAGCTTATTTTAAAGACAGGGAATTCTCCATTAAATGGTTTGGAATGAATTATATCTGACATGCAATGTAGGTTGCGCATAGATGCAGACAGAATCATTATATCAGGCATGGCAAACTCGATTTCATCGACGGCTGCATCAGGGTTGTGTCTGACCTCAGGAGGCCAGGGTGGGTGTGGCCAACTCAACGTCACTCGTGTTGGGGACACCTGTGGTGGCCCGAGTGCTCTGTGAGCGAAAACGGGTTCCCAAGCTTCGATTTTGGCTAGACGGCCTCCTGCAACCCTCTGCCACAGCTGAGCTCCATTTTCGCTGGCAGAGGCACTGTGGGCTGTTCCTTCGCTGTTTCCAGGGCGGTCCCTTGGGCCAGATCTAAGCACCCTGCAGGCCGCATCCAGCCCCCAGGCGTTGAGTTTGACACCCCTGCAATATATGAATACAAATCTACCTGTTAGAAAAATCCATCCAGAAAGGTCTATAGGTAATCTGTGACTACAGTTGAGCCCCAAATTTATGTTGCTAAGCAAGACAGTTATTAAGTGAGTTTTGCCCCATATTACGATCTTTCTTACCACTGTTAAGTGAATCACTGCAGTTCAGTTAGTAATGGTTTTTAAACAAATCTGGCTTCCTCAAAGACTGCTCATCAGAAAGTCGCAAAAGGTGATCACATGACCCCAAAGGTCACAAAAGGTCACATGACTGTAATCATAAATACATGTCAGTTACCAAGTGTCTGAATTTTGATCACGTGATTAGGGAGATGCTGCAACAGTTACCACATGTGAAAAATGGTCAATAAGTCATTTTCAGTGCTGTTGTAATTTTGAACCGTCACTAAATGAATGATTGTAAGTTGAGGAGTATCTGTAGTTAGGAGAAAGAGGAGGGAACAACTAATAAGAGGATCAGGACCAGGACCAGATTCCCGTGTAGTAAGTTCTCAATCATCTCTAGCAGAGGTGGTATTCAGCAGGTTCTGGAGAACCGGTAGTGGAAATTTTGAGTAGTTCGGAGAACCAGCAAATACCACCTCTGACTGGAGATTTTACAGTATCCTTCCCCTGCCATGCCCACCAAGCCACGCCCACAGAACCGGAAGTAAAAAGATTGGAATCCCACCACTGATCTCTAGTCTCGACCTTTGCTCTCTTTAGGGTGCCAGTCCTATAATGAATGGTAGGAATACCACAGTCCAGACTCAATGATTTGCCCAGTGAGGTGAATGGCATTCAGGATCCTTTCAAGAGCTAATTGTCCATAGTTGAGCCAGAAATCCAAAAAGAAGAAGAAAGTGATGCCCTGCCTTGCATTTATTAGCTGTGATTAGAAAGATGAAACAATAATAAATGTCACAGCCCCAGAATTCACCTGAATCAGAAAAATGTCTAAGTATACACGAATCATCATCTTTTGCTCATTAGAAGCCCTGTTTAAGTGGCAGATTTTTGGAGATGCAATATGTGCAGTTAGCACTTGCGTGGATGTGTGAGTTGCTTTTTAAAAGTAAGGAGGAGATTTAGGGGGGCTATTTGATTTAGAACTCTTATGGAGAGGAGAGAGTTTAATTATGTTGCTTCCTCTGGAGTTCTGATGTGGACAGGAGGCTCATGCCTGCATTTGGCACTCTAAGAAAAGCTCCGGTTGAGACCACTGTAGGACTTTTCTTCAGAGCAAACTTACATATAGATCTGTTTGCAAGTGTGGAGAGAAATAATATGGTTTAGGACTTTGATGGGACAGAGAAACAATTAAAGGCCTCCTGTGCTTAAAACAAAGAGCAGAGAATAATAGGGTTGGAAGGGATCTTGGAGGCCTCCTAGTCCAAACCCCTAGTTGAGCAGACATTCTGGACAAATGGCTGCCCAGTTTCTTCTGGAAACCTCCAGTGATGGAGCACCCACAACTTCTGAAGGCAGGCCGTTCCATTGGTTAATTGTTCTCCCAGTCCGGAAATTCTTCCTCAGTTCTAGGTTGGATCACTCTCTGATAAGTTTCTTTCAGTTGCTTCTTGTCCTACAAGGAGAACAAAGGGCTTTGAGGTCCATTTTCTCTTCTCCATGACAGCCCCTCAAATATTGGAAGACCACTATCCTATCTCCCATAGTCCTCTTCATAAACCAGACATACCCAGTTCTCTCAATCATTCATTAACTCTGTAGTTTTCATTCTTTTTATTCTTTTAGCTCTAGGAGAATCCCTATCCCACAATCCCTTACAAAGCAGTGAATCCATGTTCTATGAGAGCATATGCACCAAAGACAAATTCCTTGTGTATCTAATCAAACTTGGACGATAAAGAATTCTATTCTATTCTATTCTATTCTATTCTATTCTATTCTATTCTATTCCATTCCATTCCATTCCATTCTATTCTATTCTAGAACAGGGGTGTCAAACTCACACTGTCACGGCATCATCATCTAACTATCAGGACTTTTTCCCCCTTCACTAAACTGAGCGTGGGCATGGCCGGCGCATGATGCATCCGGCTCGCGGGCTGGGAGTTTGACAGCCCTGATCTAGAATCTCTATATTTGCTTCTTTCTCATGCCATTTTTACAATTGTTCACATGGACTAGCCTGAAATCTTTGGAAATTTAGGAACTCATTGATTAGTATTGGGGAAGAGAACAATTGATTTAAAGCCTTTAAGGTTATTGTTTTTGAATAACATTTTTGGATGTGAAAGAAAGCAATTCATTTCTCTAAGATTTCTCCTCTTTCAGGTGAAGAACACGGGAGGTGTTTCACAATAGAGTACGTGATGCCCATGAATGTCCAGCTGACCTCTGAATCAACTATCAATGTTTTAAGTAGGTGTTTCCTATTTTCTGAGTCAGGGAAGATTTACCTTTTTGTGTCTTTATGTAAAGAAGACATAAGAATCTTAACCTGGTTGCAAAAATACACATAACTACTAGATGGCGAATTGACGAAGAAAACACATTTTGGTGTCATCTAGTCCTTATCCAGATCTTTGCAGCACTACTTAAACAAACAACTGCATCAGCAGTTGGGGGGGGGGGGGGGGCCCAGAATGTTGCTTCATTTTCAATTGATTTCTGATTGTTTGCTTTGAAGGTAGCTCTATTGTATCTAAGTGCTTGAGAGGGCTTCACTGCTGTTCTTGCTATCTCATTCCACTGGGCCACTGTTGATTTCCATGTACCGTTGCTGTGATCTGATAATTGTTCAAGCAGCAAACCAATAGATTGCTATTTCAAATAAGAGCTAATGCAGTAAGAGCAATGCTGCCAGACATTCTCCTAGTGACCATGACAACAATGCCACCATTTATCAAGGATGGTGGTACTGATCACCAGAAATACTGTAGTATGGAAAGGGAATCCAGGCAATGGATAATATGGACAGAACATACAATGTTATCCTAGTCAACTTATCATGCAATAGGCAACCTCATGACTTGTAGATGTTTTGGACTGCAAACCCCACCATCCATGACCCCTGAAGGAGTTGATATCCAAAACATTCAGAGGAAATGAGATTGCCTTGACAAAAATGATACCATAGACAACCCAGAGCTCAGATGAAAGTGATACTGATAGCTTTTCCTTTCAAATCCTTCCCCACCCCACAAAAGAAGAATAAAAGCAAAAGGAAATCTCCCTATCACAAATTAAGGTTGAGAAAATTTAGAAGGAGGCCTATGAACGGAACCAAAATGTCCTGTGAGAAGAAGGGCCCACCCTCTTGGATGGAAAGGTCAATAAAGCTGCCATTGACACTTAATATAAGGAGATATACAGTAATCCATGAAGGCTTCATTTGCCCCATTCAGTATGGAATTACCCCAAGCATTATGGCCCTAAGGTCTCTTTATTTAAGAGGTAGGACAGTATGGCTCTAACCCTGATGCTTTTACCACTTTCAATCCCTCCCGCTGGATTGACAGGTCTTCTAGTGGAGGACATCAGTTTTCTACTGATGCACATTGTCCACCAAGTGATTCCGTAATTCAGAAGGTTACATGTACATTACCTCCACAAGGTAATCATATAGGGACTTGAGTTTTTCCTTAGTTTTTCGAGTGGACTGAACATTAAAAGAAACACAAACCAAGGAAACAGATTTGGAAAAAAATAATAATGCAAAATTCATGGAAAGCAGAAAGCATCTTTTCTACAAACGGGTGTTGTGTAGGCATGTGTCTGTATATTTTTGTAGTGATGTATAGAATCCCTTCCCATGACATTTGCCTCACTCATTACACTTGTTTCCAAAATGTCAGATAAGGATATATTTACATATTTTGGGATGATCCTGAAATTTAAGGATTGCTACAAACTGCATAGAAAGAGAGCCCAGAGAAAAACCCTGGAAAATATCCCTTCTACTTGTGATCTTATTTTGACCCTCAATGACTCTTCCTCACTTATGATTTTTATAGAAATGATTCGTTCTGCCACCCCATTCCCCCTGGTGAGTCTCTTTTTCATGTTTATTGGATTCATCTTGAGCAACATTGGGCATATCCGGCCACATAGAACCATCTTGGCCTTCGTGTCTGGAATCTTCTTTATTTTGTCTGGTGAGTTTTAAGATGGCAGCTCTATTCCCCCCCCCCCTCAAAAAAAAACCCTTGGTTTAAAGGTATATTTGAATTCAATCTCCTGGAGCAGGTGTCTGAGAAGTGAGAAAGAATAGGCAACAATTTGGGAATATTAGCATGTGTGGAATTTAGTTTTTCCTTGTACTGTGACGTGATAGTGTGCCTCTCTTCACTGAAACAGGATGCCATAGTTGTGCAATTGCTTAATTACTAGTTTTTCTTTCCTTGAATATGGCTAATACTTGTTACTTGTAAAAGGCAGACCCTGGTTAATTGATCTAGCCACAACTGAATGTTACCTTATTTTATTTGAAATAGAAACTGTTCCATTATTGTAATTTATTGTTTTCTTGTAAAATTCTGGTCAGTGACTGTAATATATATATATATATTTAGTTAGCATTAGATGATTTTGAGCCTAGAGGCTATTTCTTACTTACAGTGCCACACAAAGTTTTAAGAATAAAACAGAGACAGAAAGGATTATACTCATCGTGAGTTACTTGGAGGAAGAGTGGAAAAGAAACAGAATCAATCAACCAATTCCTTTCATCACCAGATATTATAGTTAATTATAAGAATGCCCCCAAAACAGAAGAATAGAATAGAATAGAATAGAATAGAATAGAATAGAATAGAATAGAATAGAATAGAATAGAATA